CCGCGGTCGATAATCGTTCCGATGAAATTAGCCAGGAACTCGAGTCCAACTCGAACAATAAAACGTTTTGTTTGCTCGCTGCAGGAATCCGCAGTCCCATTGATACATCGGGGACGATTAAAATCGCGGCTCGACGAAGAGACCGGTAAAATCGCGAATTCCTTCGCGGCTGAGCTGCGCCTCTCTATTCGATCTATTCGCGGAGATAAACTTCTCCCCTTTTTTTCACCGATTCGAACTGATCGCGTCGAATCTACGCTCTGTTTAACCGCTTTCCGTCCGGGCCTCCGTTGATTTCCTGTCGTTCGTTGCACGTTCACAATTGACATCCGGTCAGCCGACTGTCGAGCGGCACGCCACGCGAGCATCCCGCCGGACAAAAGCGCGGCGGAACGACAGCGCGATTCCCTGTTCCGTCCGAATTTTACGTTGAAAACGCCGGTTGATTTCTCCATAAATTAATTTCGAAAAATCTTGCCTGTATCTAAAAAATTGTTGAATATTTCTAGAATGTTTAGAATATTTTAGAACCTTTCTGAATATTCCTTGCTTCTTTAATTACTTTAGAGTTACTTCTAAAAGAAACTTTCCAGTGCAAAGGGTTAATAAAGAAACAATTACTTTCATCGGTACAGTTTTCAAATTCGTTATATCTGTGTTTAAATTAATCCCTTGCCCTATGATTTCTTTGAATATACTCGATGAAAGTACTTCAACGTTAATAATTAATTAGAAAAAGAAAGAGTTCGGTACTTATTCTATTCGCCACATTTACTTCAGACATTAACGACTGAGAATAGAAAAGAGGTATTCAATTTATATTTTCATCACGAGTCCGACACGATGTCATAGGGCAAGAGGTTAATTTATCATGGCCAACTTTGGAATCGTCCGCGATGGGAATTCCGCGGGTGCGCGCGCGTTTAGGCATTGCAACGCGCTTTTTGCCGGTATCCGTGATCTTTTGTTTAGCCCATACAAGGGAGCACCGTAATTTTCTCGAAAGAAAGACGCTCTCAGGGCGGAAAGGGATAGAGAGGGAGGAAGGGAACTCTCGCTGCCTCGAGTCGGCCGGCCACGACTTTATTTCTCCATAAAGCAGAGTGAATTCTCGTTCTTGCCTCTGCCTGGCCAGATGATCGCCTCGTTTCGTGATTGCCACGCACTGGAAAATGATCGTCAGCCCGAAGAACCGAAGACGTATTACTCTTCTTGCCACCGACACCCATCGACTCCCCCTTCTTCCTTTTTTCGTTTCGCTTTTTTTCTCCTTTCGCCGACGAAAGTGCTCGACAGAAAGTCTCTGTTGTCGTTGACTCGGAGATCGAGTCTCCATAAATTTCACCAGAAAACTTTTCGCATTTGTTATTCTTTAATATGCACTCGTGGGGAGTCGAGAAACGCGTTTTAGCGAGGGTAGAAATGAATTATGTTATTGATTTTGGTTGATTTTAATCGCACGTGAATCTGAGTAACTATTATAGTCGTTTTTAGAGAGTGTATATATCGGTGTATATTTTAGATGAATGTTACTATAATTCTTGTTGATCGACAGGTTAAAGCTTCTAGGACCTCCTATCGCTACTGTACAGAGTAACGCGCTAGCGTATCGAAGAACAAAGATTAAAGTGGCAAATACATGGGTAATGGAATGAATATTTCTATCATTCTCTCACTGATAGTGGACGGTAACTGGAATATTCAACGACTTTCCTTTACGCTCGCATTTATCAGTCCCCGTTCGAAACGCGCAATTTCGACCATCGATCCAGTAACTCGTAGAAAGTAGCGTGGAAGAAATTCCAGCGGATAACGAGAGGCGTAGACCGCGATTAAAACGCGATCGAAAGTGGCGAATGAATCGTAAATAGCGTACTCTTATCTGGCGCCTGCGTTATCATAAATATGACGTCTAATACGCGCGATACACGAACGAGGTTCCGCCGGTCTGGAATGGAGATTTCATCGGTCCATTGGACAGAGATCGAATTCACGAGATTTCCCATCAGAAAATTAGAAACCCACTTCGTCGGACGAAAGCGTCGTCGCAGTTTCTAACGTCGTTCGAGCAAAAATATAAAAATACAAAAGTGTATCGAGCGCGCTCGGCCGTTAAACGGGAACGCGCCGCGACACTCGGCTCGAAATGAAATTCAGATTACGACGCTGTCGCTCCTCGGACGCATTCTAATTATGTTCCGCTGGTCGCACGCGCGAGCGCGAGCGCGGCATTAATTACCCCGAAATCTAGGTCGACGAGCATCATAATGCCGCTGGTGAAATTCTCTGTTCGGCTGTCGAACGCACGAATCTGGCCTGGACGCGTCGCGAACTTCGGTGCGCGATGCCAGCTGTTCGACGATGGAATTATTGAACAAGCATATTATCTGATATGTGTTTCGTCAGACGAGTCACGATATCTTGTTTGATTTGTACTTTAGAATGAACATTAATGAAGCAGTTTAGTGAAAAACTTTTCAAAAAAGCTTGTGGGTTTCTTTGAAAATTTCAACATTGCTAGGACATCTGAAATTGGCTTGTTTTACGCTCGAAATCTCCATTCCCCGAGTATTTCTGCGTTGTTTCGTGGTTTAGAAATAAGAAATTCGGGGAACGAATATCGTGGCACTTGGGTTTGAGGAAACGCAAACATTTCGGCCGCTAACCGCAGCGACGACCGAGATAAAAACCGTGGACGCGTTCTGCCCGCGTGTAGCTCGTTCCTTCGGAGTCGGCAGCCGCGGATGCAGCTTTCGTAACGAGCGAAAGTGACGCGCCAGTATCTGCCGCGGGATCGTTTTGTTCCGCGACCAGATATCGGTTTCTTTTCAAATATTTGGAAAGTACACCTGACTGCTTCAAATACTCGGATACTCCGAACGAAGTCCGACTGGCAGCTTAAAGCTTCCGATCTCGTTAATTATGCAACGTTTTCAATTGAAGTTACCTCGATATATCATACTTAACGGTTAATGTATGCTCTCGTACAAGGCTAGTGAAAGTATCACTAAAATATGAAACTGTTTCTTACTCCTGAGAACTAAAAGTTTAATGTATGGGGTTTAGCGTGACGCACACAAGACAACTTGTTTCTCAATCTCATGTCTGCGCTATATTGTTCCATTTTTCCATGAAAATGCGCACGCGACTTTACGACAATACCCCAAATTGCACTCCTCATCTCTCTACACCTTGGAAATATTACCAGCGTCGTGTTCATTAAAAATAATAACAATAAAGTGTCTGAAGGCGCCGTCGTTCGCTTTCCCGTCCACGGAAACGATTTCCGCGTGCACCCAAGGGAATAATGCGATGTAGAAGGAGTACCGAGAACTCCATTAACATATTTCTAAGGAAAACCGATCCCGTGTACGCCACTGTTTCCTCGGGGGAACGTAAAAATGCTCGCTGCGTCGGGAACGCGAGGCGTGGAAGCGGAAAATTCGTAAATGGCCGTCGTTCGGTCCATACGAATGCAACGAGACGAAATTTTATTCACGGAACGTGAATGTTCCACCGAGGTACACGATTGACGCGAGTTTCCTCGGTGATCGACCGGTTTTAGCGTTATTTATCGACTCCCTAGCGCTGCCATTACCGGAAACCTTAAATTCCCCGCACGTCCGGCCCATCGAGCGACCAAGTTTACTGCTGCAACCATAATTCCACCCTTTCCTGCACTCTCGTTTACAGCGCGCGTGCGTTGCAACGTGTTCCAACGTGTGCAGGAGGCTTGACACTGAAACTACCAGGTCAAAACGACCCATTTGAAAATTTCTAGTTTACGATTACCGTAACGCTGAAAACGCTTTTGTAAGAAACTGAAACATAAATTCAGACATTCGCTGGGATGCAATGATAAACCGTCTTTGGACACAACGTCTTTGAATATAACGTTGCGAACGAATAATTTAGTTACCGGAATACCAAGAGATCGATACACAGTTCTCTTCTTTCTTCTCGTTAACACTAAAACTACCGAGCAGTTGAATTGGATTTTTGAGATTTCTATTGATTTATAATTGTGTTTGCGTATTGCCAAACCAATTTCTTTGATAATTTCTCAGAAAATCATGTTATATCTTCAATAATTGCAAAAAGAGGGAGTCAGAAATGGGTTATTTTGACTTGTCCGGTAGATCTAGTGTTAAGAGAAAACATACATACCTGTGAATAGTTTCAGAGAAGGAACAGACATGACTCGAAGGTGAAAAAATGTTCTCTGGTTAGCATTTTCCTTAGTTAGCTAGTTATGAATGACCAATTTAAGATTCCACCGAGATACGCGTGTACCTGGCTGCTCACGTGACTTCGCTCTCCACCTGAATGGCTTCTGTTTCCCTCGCGCCGGCAGCTTTTCTTCCACCGCCAGCCCCTAAATCTGCCTTCAAACATAATAATAGAGTTTGAAGAGGACCCGGCGTGGCGGCGTTGTCGGAAAGTTTGATTAGCCGGCGACCGGGGGCAGAGGGGAAGGGTCGTGTCTCGTTCATCTGGTAGATTGCTTTTCGTGGTTGATAGTGGCTGCGAGTTTCGCGTGGAATGCAGCCGCCGTAACTTTTTTCATCAAAGCTTGTTGTTTTCGGCAATCCCGGATTAGGAGGACTGTTGCGGGTTGATCGAAAGACACCGGGATTGAATTAAAGTGCTGTGGATCAATGGAGATCCACGGTGGAATCGGTTAAACTCGAAGAATCATCATCAATCACTGATCTATTTATTCCATCTTGCCGTCGATTTTGTAGCTTTCTGCTCACGTGTTCTTGGTTGTTTAATTTCTATATTACATCGAGTATTAATTTCATTGAATTCCTTCATTTATCGAACCTTCTCCAAAGTCCAAAGGCATATTTAAATTCTACGTTCTTCCGCTGCATTCTACCAATTCCATCACGAAATGATTAACTTTAAGAACCTCCCGTCATATTTTGAATCTCTCGAACCTCTATTTTCTCGTCTCCATCACAATATCACTCTGACCACGGAACCTTCTGTTACAGGCAACGAGGAAGATTTCAAAATGCGGATATTTGTTCGTCGCCCCGGGCTGGGACTTCTCGAACCCGCTGAACCGGACGAAGGTAAGCGGAAATTAATGAATCGGGAAGCCGTCGTGGATCGTGGATCTCTTTCGTTGCCCCCGTATCCCCTTTCCACCTTTGCGATCCACGTATTCGCGTATCCTGGCCGCAACATCGCATCGCCTGAAACTAGAGGGGCCAGGCGCGGAAGCGCGATCGAGAGAACGATCGGAGGTGCAGATCGGAAACGGTACGTCGGGGCCATCGATCACTTCCGTTCCGATGGCTCCAGGGGGGCGTGCGGCGTGCGCGTTATCGACACTCTACGATCGGCCCGATCGTGTTACAAGATCGATCGAACCCCGCGCAATTTTCTCATTATCGAGAAAGCGAGGATAAAACCGCGCGCCCTGCGCCGTCAACGTCCGGAGACGAATATCGTCGACCGTTCCCGCCGAACGTCGAACCTTTATTCTTTCGATCCTCGATTCTTTCGCCCTTCTCCCGCCTTGTTCACTCCACCCCGCTCCTTTCCGTCGGGGATCGATTTTCGTCGGTTTCATTCGATTTGACGGTAACGTACTCGCGAAACGTGACTTGTAAAATGCAAAACGTGGTTGGCCGCGTCGATCCGTCCGGTTTTTTCCTTGTTTTATATTTACGACCGCGAACGGATCTCGTTCCTTTCTAAACTTTCTCCCGCGAGCGACGTATCCGCGATCCTTAACGCGTCTCGTATCCGATTTTTCCGCGGCGGCTCGCGGGGATCGACAAACGAATCGTTGATCTCTCGCCTCGCCGTTCCCCGAGGATCGGTGGCTAGGTTTCCTCGGCGGGATCATTGGAAACGGGCGATTCGTATTAATCGCGCGACGCTGACCGGCGTTCGTTTCGTTTAATCTGCTCCCTCCCCATTCCGCGTTATCGGGACGATTTCTTCCTCGCCGGTCGTCTTCGTTAACGGCGGAATTAGAGAAATCACGCTTGTTAATGGACGCCTTTGAATCGCCGGCTGAGATTACCGGAGCCTTTAGCGTCGCTTCCCGGCGGCGGCTCGCGAGTTTCACGGTTTCGATTAATTCGCCTTTGCAACGAAGAACTTTCCAATTTATGAAATATCATTCGGTAAACTGGACCTCGGACTTTTATCAGTCGAACGGCCTCTCTCGCGCGAAGATTGGAGTCGAGTTTCTCCACGGATGATTCTATTATGACGATATCGAAGCTGGAACTGCATTCGATTTAATCTATATTGCCTGATTTTCTTCTATGTTTGTTGTATTCCCGTTTGATTTGATCGAATGAAAACCCATTGATTCGTAATACCCTGTTTACGGTACTTTATTGCTCTTCTTTTTCATTATTCTCCTATTTAAGATCACTTGAAAACGGTTCAACGGTTAATTAACGCGAAACACGGCAATAAGGATTACGGAAATTATAGAAAATTGAAGCTACAAAATTGTAGAAGTTGTTTCCAGGTATTAATAAATCATCGGTGAATCATGGAAACCGATAAAAATCGCGTGCTGCTCGTCGAACGATCGTTACGCGAACGATCGACGATCCGCTCGCGAATGTATCGGGTTGCAGCCACCGTCGATCACATCCGAGGAATAAGGATTCTCTCACGCGCGCGAGTCTACGCGGAAATCGAATGTAAACGCGAATTTAAACGATCGATTATCGAATCCCGCGGCGTTCTTTCGAGACGCGAGCCCGCCGGCCCGCGAGAAACGCACAAATAGAAAGCGGTTTCATGGATGACCGTGTTTGGCCTCGATCAACAGACTCTCCCTTGATTTTCTATGACAGCTGTGACTGGCCTTCCGCGAGTTTTTCTTTAGCGCCGCTAAGAATGGGGATTCCTCTTCCGGTTGGGAGTCGCTTGTCCCACGATACCTCGGGAACACTTGATATATGCAAGAACTGTAGTTAGAATTTTCGTACAATCGACATTAACACGTTAAATGCTGCACGATTTCACGTAGCAAAATACGCAGAATGAAAAAGATATTCTATCACAAATTATTTCATCGAATCGTCTCATTATTATTGCACGTTTATCTTACCGAATGTCACCGCATTAGGTAGCATTATTTACGATATAAAAATGTTTGCAAATAATCATCGTTTCATTGACTGAAATATAGTAATTCGATTTGCTCATGTCATACAACACGTTTTCCATCATCTTTCGCTTCTCTACGAATCATTTCAGATATATGTTTTATTTTCTTTCCATCTCTATACTGAGTTCGTCAGGAATAATCGAATATTTTGTACCTTCAAAAAGTTCTCGAAGGAAATAAAATAGAAACATGAAGTAATATTAGAGAGGAGCGTTTAATGTTACACGTGACAATCGCTAAGTCTTCGAATTGTTCGATGTATTCTCAAGGTCGATAATTTGAATGACTTTTCGCCGACGTAAGACGCAGTTCGCACCGTGACAATTACAAATGACATAATCAGAGACTCGGTGTGCTCTGTTAATTGCGAGCGCAAACAGACGTCGTTCCTGTGCACACATCGAAACTGCAGCCTGCGACGTGTACGTAATACGGGGAAGATAAAAATAATGTTCTCCCACTGAAAGGTCTATAAATCATCGAATTATCTTCCCGATAAAAACCGTTATCGGCGCAGCGCGTCTAGCTACCGGATTCTTCTGGCTAGCGACGCTCACCGCGTCAGATGATCGATCCCGAGTACTTAAATACCGACAGAATATTAATACCGGCTATCGGACACGTTCTTCGTGCCAATTCCGGACGCGAGCGGCGTCCATTAGATCTAATAGGCGCGTTCATCAATCCGATCGGAGCTGGTAGCTATTCATTATCGCCGAAAATTCATCGAGCTACGAATCGATTCTCGCTTTCATTCGACTCTTTCGATTTATTCTTTCTCCATTCAAGATCTCATCGTAATCTGTCGATTATTTACATTTTTCGATAGGCCTCATTGCAATCTTTGATCCGAGAAAATAGAAAACGACAAATTAAAATGAATCACTAGTTTCACTGGACTCTTTCAAATTTCAAAGTTTTCATTCGTCGTTATGTGAATTATAGTGATCTATCGACGACGTAGGTTTTTCGATGTTTTTCATACGGCATCTCTAATTTTAGAAAGTAGAAAAAGGTGATAGTTAATTGACGAAAAGAGAGTTGCCGAGAATGGTATCAGAGCTGGCGTTGTACACGGACGTCATTCTCGAAGTCAATTTTTCAAACTGCTAGCAACAAACCGAGTCCTCTGAATTCCGCGGAACCGATTAGCGACCCGGAAGACTCGCTAGCTCCATTGTCATCTGACGATCGGAACCAACAGTCGAAATTCCGTCGGGCGAGACGCGAGCTCGCAAATCTCGGCCGTTTCACCGGAGAAAGTGAATAATTAGAAGTCGCCTTAAGGCTTCGAAGGCTTTTAAAGACTAGGCGACGCGCGAACGGTGCGTAACAACAGCCGCAGCGCGCGGTGCCGACTCCTTAATTAAACGTGTCTTTGTTAATTCATGCGTGTGCTGGCCGAGCTCCAGGATTTTCCCTATGTTCCCTCTTTGAATAAATTATATTTCGCTTTTGTCGAGGCCGAAGATCTTCCCGATTATTCCTAACGCGTTCGAAACATGTTCGCTAAACATTGTGTCCCTCGCTCATTACGAACGCGAACGATTAGGAGATTCTCAGAACAAGTAGAAAACTTCACTGAAACTCGTAACTTACGAAAGGTGTATTTAAAAATCAGAAAACTGAAAAAGCCTGAATTGTCATAAGTCTAGGCTGAAAACATTTCAAAAATTCGAAGATCAAGAAACCAACGAAATTAGAAGCACGGTAACTTGGAGAATTAAAGAATTTTAAGACAAATTAGAAAATTAAGAAGCTAAATAAATTGGAAATGCGATAACTGGAGAATGAAAAGGATGAAGGGGCCGAACAGAATCGAAACGTGACAATCTGAGAACCACTGAAATTATTTCGAGGAATGAAAGTTCCAGCTGAAACTCGAACGGGAAAAAATTATTTACCTCACAGAATTTCGAGCACTTTAATACCCATCTTACCTGATATACCCAGTGTACCCGCATCATTAACAGCGTCCACCGTCCCTGTCCGCTCCGAATCGAAAATAGTCAGGCCCAAGTTCGACGTCGTTTAACCCGCGCCACGGACTCCATTCGAATTTCTTTTGATAGTCTACGAGTAGAAAACACTTGGGCTCGAAAAAGTTCATGGCAGTCGTAATACCGGAGCCGCGTTAAAATATGGAAAGCAGGGGGACCCACGGGCGCAATAAAATAAACGATCAGCCCCGTCGCCTCGTGCCGCTGTCGCTTTAATGCCCCCCGAGCGATAAGAAGCGACGACTCCGACGATAAGGCCTCGCCCCGACGTCGCCCCTTTAAACGCGTTTCATTGCGTAACCACGATTAAATGGGGACTAGATGCTTCTCTTTGGTTCAATAAAAAACGATTCTTCTTTTTGTATCGGCGATGTCGACGAGTCGTTCCCCGGCGCATTCAGACGATTAGTTGCATAACGATAATGACGCTTTATCCGTTCCACGTCAAATTGAACACGATTTCCCGTATAATCATGGATCTCTTTTAAATTCGCGCGATTCGTTGTCCGATTTCCTCGAGAAGACAAGGTCCGTGAAATTTTCGTTCTCTCGCTTAAGCGACTCGCGGAACATTGATTATTTAACGCTACGACTACCGAGCAGTGGACGCGACTTTTCATTAGCTTTTTATAGAAACTGCAGGAGCTACGTTGTTGAGATTTCTACCGACCCATATTCCCAATAATAACAAGAAGGGAGAAATGAATCCTATGGACTCAGTTCTAGTGTTACAGTTTAAAAAATTGCGTGAAGTAGCTAATACACGATCCATCAATCATCAATATCTCCATTACAGACAAATCACTTTCTCTATAGTCAAATACAAAGACCCACAATCCTGAACCACTAAAAATTTCGCTCGATTCGGCTAATTTGCGACGGAGCGATGAACTGCCGCGTCAGCGTGTCCACTTGTTCGATATACTCG